ACTTGCTCTCAGCCGGACAACTCGAAGAGAAAGGTGCCTCCGTTCTCTTGCAAGGGGGGAAAGCCAAAGTGTGGGACAGTGCAGGAAATCTGGTGGCTGAAGGCGAGCGTACCGGGCGGCTCTACAAGATGAAGTTGGAGATTAAGCGCGGTGCTAGCAACACGAAGAACGACGTTGTCTCGCTTCCCGCTGTTTCAACCGATCAAGTCAACAACAAAGGGAGTATCTCCCAAGCTGAGGTATGGCATGCACGCTTGGGGCACGTGGGAGTGCAAGCATTGAAAGAGTTGGTAAATCACAAGAGCGTGGAAGGATTGAGTTTGAATGAAAGTGCAGTCAAGTCCCTTTCTTCCGTTCCATGTCCATCTTGTGTGGAAGGTAAACTAGCTAGAAAGCCATTCTTCCCTTCTAAGTCTCAGTCAAGGGACCTCCTAGAGTTGGTCCACACTGATGTCTTCGGCCCCATGCGAGACCCTACTCGAAACGGTAAGAGATATTTGGTGTCTTTCATTGATGACAAGAGTCGTTTCTCGTGGTCCTTTTTCATCAACACCAAGGATGAAGTTCACAAGTGTTTCAAGCAATGGCTAGCACTTGTTGAGAGAGAGTCAGGGAAGAAGTTACTCACCTTGAGGTCAGATCGAGGAGGTGAGTACATGGGGAAAGCGTTTCAGGGGGAGTTGTTGGCATTGGGCATCAAACAACAGTTCACTTGTCCCTATAGTCCTCAGCAAAATGGAGTGGCAGAGAGGTTTCATCGCACTATCCAGGCTATAGCTACCACTTTCCTTCAGTTCAAAGGCCTTGACAAGCTCTGGTGGGGTGAGGCAATCACTATGGCAATTTATGTTCGCAACAGGAGTCCCACAAGGCCCTTACCGGAAGGTGTAACGCCATATGAGGCTTGGTTTGGAGTTAAACCAGATCTGTCTATGCTTCGTGTTTTTGGTTCCATGGCCCAATACCGTGTTCCAGATGCAAAGAGACTCAAGTTGGACAGCAAAGCTCATTGGGGCCTCTTCATCGGCATGAGCAATGAGAGCAAGGGATGGGTCCTTTGGGATCCTGTCACCAAGCGAGAAGTGGTTTCAAGGGATGTTGTCTTCTATGAAGACATGTCCCTTGCAGGTTGGCATAAGTTTTCCTCTTCCTCCTCTCTACCCTCTATCCAACAGGAACCAGCAAGCGCACCTGAGGAAACAACACAAGAGGAGGAAGAAGATGACACCGATTCTGACCATAGCGGACCGATCATCGATCTCCCTCAAGCCGTCGTCAACGAGTCCAACCGTGCCACGCCAGTGCCACCAGCAGCTACTCAACCAAGTGGAGATGAAGTTCAGCCATCAAATGAAGACAATCCACCGCAGCAAGTCACCGTTCCATCACCACCAAAGGAGCAGCAGCCAACAGTCACAAACCAGCCAGCTATATCAACACCAACCTCACAATTTCAACGCCAACCGGATCAGCCCACCACTACGCCATCAAACCCATCACCAGCCATCACTCCAGAGGCAACTACAGAAGCTCATCATCATCCCATGCAGCAGCAATCAACAGCTACAAGACCCCAAGTACCTACATCAACACCATCTACGACTCTTCCTAGCAACAAGTCAACCGTCACCGCAACACCTCGTTCTCATACCACACGTTCATCACTTGTTCCAACGTCAAGCCAGCTCATAGCACGAGGATCACTTCAGCGAGTCACCACCAACACCAGCTCCAACAGTCCACTTCTTCACCCAAGACCTTTCTCAACTTCACCCCCACGTCCCGGATTCGGTCGTCATCAGTTACCACCATCTTCAACACCGAGCAACAACACCAACCAGCCCCAACCATCACCACCTCTCGACAAGGCAGCGTCATCATCAATTCCCAAGCTTCTAGTCTCAAGATCCCCACCAAGAGCATCTTCACAACCAACTATGCCGACAAACGTTTCAGCTTCACCGCCACGAGTCACCATACCTAATCCTCAAGTCAACACCGATAATCAAGATATTTCCACGCCAGGAGAAGAACAAGCAGCCGTGCCGCCGTCGCAGCCGATGTCGCAGCCGTTGTCTCAGCCGCAAATGACCGCATCAACGCAATCAAACACTGTGAGACCGAACCCTACCACTAATGTGTCTCAGCCAACTGAGGAGTTTGGTAAAGGTAAACGAGTCCGCAAGGTAAAAAAGCCCTTCAATTTCATGGTTGACATGTCATCAAGGTGCACATGTGAGGAGAGTGAGAATTGCATTCACAAGAAGGTAGAGGCAATATGCATGGCAGCATCACACCTTCCGCGAGAGCCCTTGAGTCGTCGTGAGGCAATGGCAAGTCCCGAAAGAGAGCATTGGTTGAAAGCCGAGGAAGAGGAGATTGAGAGTCTCATGAAGCGAGGTACATGGCGTCTTGTTGAGCCACCTCCAGGGAAGAAGGTAATTGGTGTCAAATGGGTGTACAAGATCAATGTAAAAGGTGATGGTAGCCTCGATAGGTACAAGGCAAGGTTAGTGGCAAAAGGTTATTCCCAAATTCCAGGTCTTGACTTCACCGAAACCTTTGCCGTGGTAGCAAAGTACACCACGGTACGAGTCCTCCTCGCCATAGCCGCATATCTTGGTCTCCATATCCATCAAATGGATGTCAAGAACGCATTTCTCTACGGTGTCTTGGAAGAAGAGGTATACATGGCACAACCCGAAGGTTATGATGACGGTACGGGTCGAGTGTGTCGCTTGGTAAAGTCCCTTTATGGTCTCAAACAGTCCCCACGGGTTTGGTATCATGCTCTTGAGCAGGTACTTTTCAAGCATGGTTTCACAAGGTCCATGAGAGACAACGCTCTGTACTTCATGCACACGAGTGAGGGGAAGTACATTTGGCTCTTGGTATATGTCGATGACCTCCTCCTAGTCTCAGGTTCTCTTGATCTTCTCAACAAGGTGAAAGGTATTCTCACGAGTGCATTCACGATGACCGATCTTGGTGAGCCGAGTCATTATCTTGGTATGAACATTGTGAGAGATCGTAAGTCACGGTCCATCTTCCTATTCCAGCAAAGGTACATCCAAAAGGTCCTTGAGAGGTTTGGTCTTGATAATAGCAAGCCATCACCTACCCCACTTCCTTCCAAATTTGTCCCTTTGTCTTCACATCAGCCCTATGAAGAGAGAGAGTCAAGCCTTGATATCATAGGTATTAAAGAGTTGTGTCTTGAGGAGAGTGAGCATCATGGTGAGAATTCACTTAAGGTATCCCCACAAGACCTAGCTCTGTACCAAAGTCAGGTTGGGTGTCTCATGTATGCAGCCCTATGCACAAGGCCCGACTTAGCATTCACGGTATCTAAGCTAGCTCAACACATGAGTGCCCCTTCACCTATTCATATGCATGCAGCCAAGCGAGCTCTTCGGTATCTCAAAGGTACTTCTAATCATGGTCTTCTCTTCCAAGCCAGCCCATATGCAAGCTCCCTCCAAGGCTTTACCGATGCAGATTGGGCAGGAGAATTGAGCACACGCAAGTCTACCGGCGGCTACATCTTCCTCATGTGTGGTGCCGCTGTTTCTTGGCAATCGCGCAAGCAAAGTTGTGTGGCACTTTCAACAACCGAAGCTGAGTACATGGCAATGACCGAAGGAGCAAGGGAGGCAATCTGGTTACGTGGACTCTTGGAGGAATTGAGGCAGCCGCAAACTCAACCAACTCCGCTCTACGTGGACAACACTTCAGCCGTAGCTCTTTCCAAGAACCCGGTTCATCATGGGCGTACAAAACACATCGAGGTGCAGTACCACTTCATTCGTGAGCAACTAGAGAAGGGAGTTATCGCCGTCAACTTTTGCCGTTCATTCGATCAAGCAGCAGATTTCATGACCAAGGTTCTTCCACATGATGCATTCAACATGTGCAAGGCAAGAGCAGGCCTCATGACACTTCATGAAGCAGTGGAGCAGTTTGAGGAGAATGAGGAGTGTGAGGGGAAGAGACGTGGGCAGCAGCATGAAGTGTATGCTAAGGAGATGTGAAAGGAGCATCAGCATGGGTGTATGTGTGCTTCGGGTCTGGTGCGAGGGGGAGTGTTGGAGAATCGAGTTTCTGCCGCCCCAGCCCTTTGCACACAAGCAGCAGCAAGAGGGAATGTCGGCGATGAATCAGAGCTTCGGGAAGTACTTCGAAAGTTCCACCACCAATCAGATTTCAGCCGAAGACTCGATATAGTTCAAAGCTGCCTTCAAACCGAAGTGTTGGCAGTTTCTACAGGTTTCTACACATCAGAATCAGCTATAACAGAAATATCCAGAGTTTTCTTATTCATGCACCTCATGTGGCACTCAAAGTCACTCAAGGTCCATCCAATCTAGATTGTGCCCAAGTTACCAGGGAAGTTACATTGTCTATCAGCCTAGTTTGAGCTTTCAATCTGTCTTGTTTGTGATGCCTAGAGTTGTGCTTTAGTGGGCTTGTTAATCTTGAACATAGTGAAGTTTTACCTCATCCAGTCAATTCCAACAGCCCTGCTAAGACTTTCCAGCCAAGTTTCCAGCCCTCCAGTAGTCACGGCTACTCTGTTTTACAAGTCACCAGTCCTTAAGCCCACAATAGTGTGACACCTGAGGTTCAGATTCCGGTTCAAACGAATTATACAGTACAAGGTATACGTAAACATTCGCACTCTATTTCGCAAGCTACATCAGGTACGGGTGTGAGCAGTTGCTGGATTGGTTCAGGATGCAAGTGAGGGGGTGTGGAACACGCCCTAACGGAATTTGACAGGATTTGTAAACAGCAAAAGGTCGACTTGTTTTTCACAAAATGATATTTAAAATGCAACACGCCCTAACAGATTCAAATTTATAGCCTTCGACAGCAGCGTGCGCCGATTTAGCAGGGGCAGCTGAACATACTGAAGCATCTGAAGTGTTTTTTAGGTCTACTCCATAGTCGCGGTGTGCGTCGATTAGCAGCGTGCGCCGGTTTAGCACGAGCAGGCGAGCATGCTGAAGCATCTGAGCCGCGTGCGCATCGAGTTCAACGCGTTCGATCGGCGGAACGCGGCGGCGCTGGAGTTTTTGGCGCAATGCAACTCGCAGAAGGCGCGCGATTCGAACCCTAAGTGCGACGTCGCCGTGAAACGACGCACGGACGATCATCCTCCCTTCGTTCAGGTGCGAGAACTACTCGTTTCGGGTTTAGGGTTTGTAGCGCGGCTGTTGGCGCGATGTTTCGTGGTATCGAGCTCTCCCCCGTCATGTTCGCCCTCCTCCGCGCTTCCGATATCTCGTCTTCACCCGTGTTCCCCCGTCTTCACCCGTGTTCCCCCGTCTTCACCCGTGTTCCCCCGTGTTCCCCCGTGTTCCCCCGTGTTCCCCCGTGTTCCCCCGTGTTCCCCCGTCTTCACCCGTGTTCCCCCGTCTTCACCCGTGTTCCCCCGTGTTCCCCCGTCTTCACCCGTGTTCCCCCGTGTTCCCCCGTGTTCCCCCGTGTTCCCCCGTCTTCACCCGTGTTCCCCCGTCTTCACCCGTGTTCCCCCGTGTTCCCCCGTGTTCCCCCGTGTTCCCCCGTCTTCACCCGTGTTCCCCCGTCTTCACCCGTGTTCCCCCGTGTTCCCCCGTCTTCACCCGTGTTCCCCCGTCTTCACCCGTGTTCCCCCGTGTTCCCCCGTGTTCCCCCGTGTTCCCCCGTGTTCCCCCGTCTTCACCCGTGTTCCCCCGTCTTCACCCGTGTTCCCCCGTGTTCCCCCGTCTTCACCCGTGTTCCCCCGTGTTCCCCCGTGTTCCCCCGTGTTCCCCCGTCTTCACCCGTGTTCCCCCGTCTTCACCCGTGTTCCCCCGTGTTCCCCCGTGTTCCCCCGTGTTCCCCCGTCTTCACCCGTGTTCCCCCGTCTTCACCCGTGTTCCCCCGTGTTCCCCCGTCTTCACCCGTGTTCCCCCGTCTTCACCCGTGTTCCCCCGTGTTCCCCCGTGTTCCCCCGTGTTCCCCCGTCTTCACCCGTGTTCCCCCGTGTTCCCCCGTCTTCACCCGTGTTCCCCCGTCTTCACCCGTGTTCCCCCGTGTTCCCCCGTGTTCCCCCGTGTTCCCCCGTGTTCCCCCGTGTTCCCCCGTCTTCACCCGTGTTCCCCCGTCTTCACCCGTGTTCCCCCGTGTTCCCCCGTCTTCACCCGTGTTCCCCCGTGTTCCCCCGTGTTCCCCCGTGTTCCCCCGTCTTCACCCGTGTTCCCCCGTCTTCACCCGTGTTCCCCCGTGTTCCCCCGTGTTCCCCCGTGTTCCCCCGTCTTCACCCGTGTTCCCCCGTCTTCACCCGTGTTCCCCCGTGTTCCCCCGTCTTCACCCGTGTTCCCCCGTCTTCACCCGTGTTCCCCCGTGTTCCCCCGTGTTCCCCCGTGTTCCCCCGTCTTCACCCGTGTTCCCCCGTGTTCCCCCGTGTTCCCCCGTGTTCCCCCGTCTTCACCCGTGTTCCCCCGTCTTCACCCGTGTTCCCCCGTGTTCCCCCGTGTTCCCCCGTGTTCCCCCGTGTTCCCCCGTCTTCACCCGTGTTCCCCCGTCTTCACCCGTGTTCCCCCGTATTCACCCGTGTTCCCCCGTATTCACCCGTGTTCCCCCGTCTTCACCCGTGTTCCCCCGTGTTCCCCCGTCTTCACCCGTGTTCCCCCGTCTTCACCCGTGTTCACCCGTATTCACCCGTGTTCCCCCGTCTTCACCCGTGTTCCCCCGTGTTCCCCCGTCTTCACCCGTGTTCCCCCGTGTTCCCCCGTCTTCACCCGTCTTCCCCCGTCTTCACCCGTGTTCCCCCGTATTCACCCGTGTTCCCCCGTCTTCACCCGTGTTCCCCCGTGTTCCCCCGTCTTCACCCGTGTTCCCCCGTATTCCCCCGTGTTCCCCCGTCTTCACCCGTGTTCCCCCGTCTTCACCCGTGTTCACCCGTATTCACCCGTGTTCCCCCGTCTTCACCCGTGTTCCCCCGTGTTCCCCCGTCTTCACCCGTGTTCCCCCGTGTTCCCCCGTCTTCACCCGTGTTCCCCCGTCTTCACCCGTGTTCCCCCGTGTTCCCCCGTCTTCACCCGTGTTCCCCCGTGTTCCCCCGTGTTCCCCCGTGTTCCCCCGTCTTCACCCGTGTTCCCCCGTGTTCCCCCGTCTTCACCCGTGTTCCCCCGTCTTCACCCGTGTTCCCCCGTCTTCACCCGTGTTCCCCCGTCTTCCCCCGTCTTCACCCGTGTTCCCCCGTCTTCCCCCGTCTTCACCCGTCTTCACCCGTCTTCCCCCGTCTTCACCCGTGTTCCCCCGTATTCACCCGTGTTCCCCCGTCTTCACCCGTGTTCCCCCGTGTTCCCCCGTGTTCCCCCGTGTTCCCCCGTCTTCACCCGTGTTCCCCCGTCTTCACCCGTGTTCCCCGTGTTCCCCCGTCTTCACCCGTGTTCCCCCGTCTTCACCCGTGTTCACCCGTATTCACCCGTGTTCCCCCGTCTTCACCCGTGTTCCCCCGTGTTCCCCCGTCTTCACCCGTGTTCCCCCGTGTTCCCCCGTCTTCACCCGTGTTCCCCCGTCTTCACCCGTGTTCCCCCGTGTTCCCCCGTCTTCACCCGTGTTCCCCCGTGTTCCCCCGTGTTCCCCCGTGTTCCCCCGTCTTCACCCGTGTTCCCCCGTCTTCACCCGTGTTCCCCCGTCTTCCCCCGTCTTCACCCGTGTTCCCCCGTCTTCACCCGTGTTCCCCCGTATTCACCCGTGTTCCCCCGTCTTCACCCGTGTTCCCCCGTGTTCCCCCGTCTTCACCCGTGTTCCCCCGTGTTCCCCCGTGTTCCCCCGTGTTCCCCCGTCTTCACCCGTGTTCCCCCGTGTTCCCCCGTCTTCACCCGTGTTCCCCCGTGTTCCCCAGTGTTCCCCCGTCTTCACCCGTGTTCCCCCGTCTTCCCCCGTCTTCACCCGTGTTCCCCCGTCTTCCCCCGTCTTCACCCGTCTTCACCCGTCTTCCCCCGTCTTCACCCGTGTTCCCCCGTATTCACCCGTGTTCCCCCGTCTTCACCCGTGTTCCCCCGTGTTCCCCCGTGTTCCCCCGTGTTCCCCCGTCTTCACCCGTGTTCCCCCGTCTTCACCCGTGTTCCCCCGTGTTCCCCCGTCTTCACCCGTGTTCCCCCGTCTTCACCCGTGTTCACCCGTATTCACCCGTGTTCCCCCGTCTTCACCCGTGTTCCCCCGTGTTCCCCCGTCTTCACCCGTGTTCCCCCGTGTTCCCCCGTCTTCACCCGTGTTCCCCCGTGTTCCCCCGTGTTCCCCCGTGTTCCCCCGTCTTCACCCGTGTTCCCCCGTGTTCCCCCGTGTTCCCCCGTCTTCACCCGTCTTCACCCGTGTTCCCCCGTGTTCCCCCGTCTTCACCCGTGTTCCCCCGTCTTCACCCGTGTTCCCCCGTCTTCACCCGTGTTCCCCCGTCTTCCCCCGTCTTCACCCGTGTTCCCCCGTCTTCCCCCGTCTTCACCCGTCTTCCCCCGTCTTCACCCGTGTTCCCCCGTATTCACCCGTGTTCCCCCGTCTTCACCCGTGTTCCCCCGTGTTCCCCCGTCTTCACCCGTGTTCCCCCGTGTTCCCCCGTCTTCACCCGTGTTCCCCCGTCTTCACCCGTGTTCCCCCGTGTTCCCCCGTCTTCACCCGTGTTCCCCCGTGTTCCCCCGTGTTCCCCCGTGTTCCCCCGTCTTCACCCGTGTTCCCCCGTGTTCCCCCGTCTTCACCCGTGTTCCCCCGTCTTCACCCGTGTTCCCCCGTGTTCCCCCGTCTTCACCCGTGTTCCCCCGTCTTCACCCGTGTTCCCCCGTCTTCACCCGTGTTCCCCCGTATTCACCCGTGTTCCCCCGTCTTCACCCGTGTTCCCCCGTCTTCACCCGTGTTCCCCCGTCTTCACCCGTGTTCCCCCGTCTTCACCCGTGTTCCCCCGTCTTCACCCGTGTTCCCCCGTATTCACCCGTGTTCCCCCGTCTTCACCCGTGTTCCCCCGTCTTCACCCGTGTTCCCCCGTCTTCACCCGTGTTCCCCCGTATTCACCCGTGTTCCCCCGTATTCACCCGTGTTCCCCCGTCTTCACCCGTGTTCCCCCGTGTTCCCCCGTCTTCACCCGTGTTCCCCCGTCTTCACCCGTGTTCACCCGTATTCACCCGTGTTCCCCCGTCTTCACCCGTGTTCCCCCGTGTTCCCCCGTCTTCACCCGTGTTCCCCCGTGTTCCCCCGTCTTCACCCGTCTTCCCCCGTCTTCACCCGTGTTCCCCGTATTCACCCGTGTTCCCCCGTCTTCACCCGTGTTCCCCCGTGTTCCCCCGTCTTCACCCGTGTTCCCCCGTATTCCCCCGTGTTCCCCCGTCTTCACCCGTGTTCCCCCGTCTTCACCCGTGTTCACCCGTATTCACCCGTGTTCCCCCGTCTTCACCCGTGTTCCCCCGTGTTCCCCCGTCTTCACCCGTGTTCCCCCGTGTTCCCCCGTCTTCACCCGTGTTCCCCCGTCTTCACCCGTGTTCCCCCGTGTTCCCCCGTCTTCACCCGTGTTCCCCCGTGTTCCCCCGTGTTCCCCCGTGTTCCCCCGTCTTCACCCGTGTTCCCCCGTGTTCCCCCGTCTTCACCCGTGTTCCCCCGTCTTCACCCGTGTTCCCCCGTCTTCACCCGTGTTCCCCCGTCTTCCCCCGTCTTCACCCGTGTTCCCCCGTCTTCCCCCGTCTTCACCCGTCTTCACCCGTCTTCCCCCGTCTTCACCCGTGTTCCCCCGTATTCACCCGTGTTCCCCCGTCTTCACCCGTGTTCCCCCGTGTTCCCCCGTCTTCACCCGTGTTCCCCCGTGTTCCCCCGTCTTCACCCGTGTTCCCCCGTCTTCACCCGTGTTCCCCCGTGTTCCCCCGTGTTCCCCCGTGTTCCCCCGTGTTCCCCCGTCTTCACCCGTGTTCCCCCGTGTTCCCCCGTCTTCACCCGTGTTCCCCCGTCTTCACCCGTGTTCCCCCGTCTTCACCCGTGTTCCCCCGTCTTCCCCCGTCTTCACCCGTGTTCCCCCGTCTTCCCCCGTCTTCACCCGTCTTCCCCCGTCTTCACCCGTGTTCCCCCGTATTCACCCGTGTTCCCCCGTCTTCACCCGTGTTCCCCCGTGTTCCCCCGTCTTCACCCGTGTTCCCCCGTGTTCCCCCGTCTTCACCCGTGTTCCCCCGTGTTCCCCCGTCTTCACCCGTGTTCCCCCGTCTTCACCCGTGTTCCCCCGTGTTCCCCCGTCTTCACCCGTGTTCCCCCGTGTTCCCCCGTGTTCCCCCGTGTTCCCCCGTCTTCACCCGTGTTCCCCCGTGTTCCCCCGTCTTCACCCGTGTTCCCCCGTCTTCACCCGTGTTCCCCCGTCTTCACCCGTGTTCCCCCGTCTTCCCCCGTCTTCACCCGTGTTCCCCCGTCTTCCCCCGTCTTCACCCGTCTTCCCCCGTCTTCACCCGTGTTCCCCCGTATTCACCCGTGTTCCCCCGTCTTCACCCGTGTTCCCCCGTGTTCCCCCGTCTTCACCCGTGTTCCCCCGTGTTCCCCCGTCTTCACCCGTGTTCCCCCGTCTTCACCTGTGTTCCCCCGTGTTCCCCCGTCTTCACCCGTGTTCCCCCGTGTTCCCCCGTGTTCCCCCGTGTTCCCCCGTCTTCACCCGTGTTCCCCCGTGTTCCCCCGTCTTCACCCGTGTTCCCCCGTCTTCACCCGTGTTCCCCCGTCTTCACCCGTGTTCCCCCGTCTTCCCCCGTCTTCACCCGTGTTCCCCCGTCTTCCCCCGTCTTCACCCGTCTTCCCCCGTCTTCACCCGTGTTCCCCCGTATTCACCCGTGTTCCCCCGTCTTCACCCGTGTTCCCCCGTGTTCCCCCGTCTTCACCCGTGTTCCCCCGTGTTCCCCCGTCTTCACCCGTGTTCCCCCGTCTTCACCCGTGTTCCCCCGTGTTCCCCCGTCTTCACCCGTGTTCCCCCGTGTTCCCCCGTCTTCACCCGTGTTCCCCCGTCTTCACCCGTGTTCCTTGTGTTCCCCCGTCTTCACCCGTGTTCCCCCGTCTTCACCCGTGTTCCCCCGTGTTCCCCCGTCTTCACCCGTGTTCCCCCGTGTTCCCCCGTGTTCCCCCGTGTTCCCCCGTCTTCACCCGTGTTCCCCCGTGTTCCCCCGTCTTCACCCGTGTTCCCCCGTCTTCACCCGTGTTCCCCCGTCTTCACCCGTGTTCCCCCGTCTTCCCCCGTCTTCACCCGTGTTCCCCCGTCTTCCCCCGTCTTCACCCGTCTTCCCCCGTCTTCACCCGTGTTCCCCCGTATTCACCCGTGTTCCCCCGTCTTCACCCGTGTTCCCCCGTGTTCCCCCGTCTTCACCCGTGTTCCCCCGTGTTCCCCCGTCTTCACCCGTGTTCCCCCGTCTTCACCCGTGTTCCCCCGTATTCACCCGTGTTCCCCCGTATTCACCCGTGTTCCCCCGTCTTCACCCGTGTTCCCCCGTCTTCACCCGTGTTCCCCCGTCTTCACCCGTGTTCCCCCGTGTTCCCCCGTCTTCACCCGTGTTCCCCCGTGTTCCCCCGTCTTCACCCGTGTTCCCCCGTCTTCACCCGTGTTCCCCCGTCTTCACCCGTGTTCCCCCGTCTTCCCCCGTCTTCACCCGTGTTCCCCCGTCTTCCCCCGTCTTCACCCGTCTTCCCCCGTCTTCACCCGTGTTCCCCCGTATTCACCCGTGTTCCCCCGTCTTCACCCGTGTTCCCCCGTGTTCCCCCGTCTTCACCCGTGTTCCCCCGTGTTCCCCCGTCTTCACCCGTGTTCCCCCGTCTTCACCCGTGTTCCCCCGTGTTCCCCCGTCTTCACCCGTGTTCCCCCGTGTTCCCCCGTCTTCACCCGTGTTCCCCCGTCTTCACCCGTGTTCCCCCGTGTTCCCCCGTCTTCACCCGTGTTCCCCCGTCTTCACCCGTGTTCCCCCGTGTTCCCCCGTCTTCACCCGTGTTCCCCCGTGTTCCCCCGTGTTCCCCCGTGTTCCCCCGTCTTCACCCGTGTTCCCCCGTGTTCCCCCGTCTTCACCCGTGTTCCCCCGTCTTCACCCGTGTTCCCCCGTCTTCACCCGTGTTCCCCCGTCTTCCCCCGTCTTCACCCGTGTTCCCCCGTCTTCCCCCGTCTTCACCCGTCTTCCCCCGTCTTCACCCGTGTTCCCCCGTATTCACCCGTGTTCCCCCGTCTTCACCCGTGTTCCCCCGTGTTCCCCCGTCTTCACCCGTGTTCCCCCGTGTTCCCCCGTCTTCACCCGTGTTCCCCCGTCTTCACCCGTGTTCCCCCGTATTCACCCGTGTTCCCCCGTATTCACCCGTGTTCCCCCGTCTTCACCCGTGTTCCCCCGTATTCACCCGTGTTCCCCCGTGTTCCCCCGTCTTCACCCGTGTTCCCCCGTGTTCCCCCGTCTTCACCCGTGTTCCCCCGTCTTCACCCGTGTTCCCCCGTCTTCACCCGTGTTCCCCCGTCTTCCCCCGTCTTCACCCGTCTTCCCCCGTCTTCACCCGTGTTCCCCCGTGTTCCTCCGTGTTCCCCCGTGTCCCCCCGTGCCCCCCTGTGTCCCCCCGTGTTCCGCTGTGCTCTCCTGTGCTCCACGGGTCCCCTCTTCCTGCCGTTGTTCTGCACCTCTGTATTAAAGTTGATGGAAATAACGCCTCCACAGCCCACACGTCTACTGCCGTATTCGCGTTTCGTCACCAGATTGTTTGCTTTTGAGTCGACTCAAAAGCAGACTCACCAGATTGTTACCAGATTGTTTGCCCTTTTCACGCCCATCCTGACACATGAGTGGACACTAGTTTGGTGCCATTGTGTCTACACGTGGCAGCAACTTAGGGATTTACACCACCTGTGAATGTTATGTTACTCTCCATCAGCCTTGTCGTGCCCATCCTCCTGACACACCCTTTCCTCCCGTACATTACTGAGCCATCCATTCATGCTCCGCCCGTGTATCCTCCCTATAGGTCACGTTCAATAATGGGCAAGAGGAGACCATGGACTGCACTCAACTAACTGCGCAGGTGAGCTGATCTCCCTCTGCCATCTGCAGTGCATGTCTGTTCAAACTGAGCTTCCCGATCCCTGCACCGCACTGCAATGCAATGCACTGCGCTGCACCGCAATCCATACTAATTTGCATCCGTACACAGCAAGTTTTTACCGTCTATTAGCGGCTGTGCGTCCAGTTTCGGATCCTCCCTCTGGTTCCGTATGGTACCTGCGTCTGCTCCTTTGTCAAACCACTTTATGTGCTTGCAACGGGAGGCAGCCTATTGTTTAATGCCTCGGTAATTAGTCCTCAACCTCGTCTGGGTCACCTCAGTTTCTCCGTCCCTCCGCGCCTCCAGCCCTCCGCCCCTCTGTCCCTCTGCCCCTCCGTCCCTCTGTCCCTCCGTCAGTCTGCCCCTCTGTCCCTCCGTCCCTCTGCCCCTCCGTCACTCCGTCCCTCCGTCCCTCCGTCCCTCTGTCCCTCTCTCAGTCCCTCTGCCCCTCCGTCCCTCTGCCCCTCTGCCCCTCTGCCCCTCTGCCCCTCCGCCGCTCCGCCCTTCTGCCCTATTCCATCTGCCCTCGTCCTTCTGCCCTCTTCCCTCTGCCCTCTGTCCTCTGATCTTTGTCCCTCTGCACTCTGCCCTCTGTCCTCTGCTCTTTGTCCCTCTGCACTCTGCCCTCTGTCCTCTGCTCTTTGTCCCTCTGCACTCTGCCCTCTGTCCTCTGCTCTTTGTCCCTCTGCACTCTGCCCTCTGTCCTCTGCTCTTTGTCCCTCTGCACTCTGCCCTCTGTCCTCTGCTCTTTGTCCCTCTGCACTCTGCCCTCCGCCCCTCTGTCGTCGGCCCTCTGCCATGCCCCTTGACAGGTCTTGAATCCCAGCAGATGGAGATTTCACTTTCCACGTTTCCCTCCCGCCCCTCACCCTCCCATCCCTCGTCCTCCCTGCCCAAAAAACCCGCTCCCTCATTCCGTGTGGGGCGCAACCTCACTCAGCTTCTCCCATCGTCCCTTTAGTCCCCTCCATCTCATCGTCCCTTTAATCCCACGGTGATCTGCCTCCCTCCTTCCCTCTCTTCTCAGAGTGCGGCAAGTCTATCTTGCAGCGAGCAAAGGAGATGGACACCCAGTGTTGGGCGTTCACTCATTCGGCTTCTCTCATCTTCCCCTCATCCTCCCTCCCTCCCTCCCTCCCTCCCTCCCTCCCTCCCTCCCTCTCCTCAGAGCATCCGCAAGTCCATCTTGCAGCGCGCGGAGGAGATGGAGACGGAGCAGATGTTCAAGGATGCGGGGCTGCAGTGGCCTGTGGTCATCCCCGAGCAAGAGGCAGAACTGGCCCGCCGCATGCAGGGGAAGAGCAGATGACTGGGTGCAGCAGTGTTGTGGTATAGGGATGACTGGGTGCAGCAGTGTTGTGGTATAGGGATGACTGGGTGCAGCAGTGTTGTTGTATAGGTGGGTGATGGGGGGAGAAGTTATAGATGTTTCGCAATGCGGGGCTGCAGTGGCCCGTGGTCATCCCGGATCAAGAGGCACAGTTAGCTCAACGCATGCAGGGAAAGAGGAGACGACTGGGTGCAGCGGTGTTGTGGGATAAGTGGGTGATGGGGAGAAGTTCTAGTTGTTCCGAGATGCGGGGCTGCAGTGTTGCGTGGTGATTCCGGATCACGAGGCACAGTTAGCCCGGCCGGCGCATGCAGGGGAAGAGAAGATGACAACGTGCAGCAGAGCGAGCGCAAGGCAGATAGGAGATGACATGACACGCATGAGAATGGGTGATGGGGCGGGATCGAACTTGAGAGAATGAATCTGGAGGGCGATTGCCGGCCGGCACTGAAATGAAGGAGGCACTTGTTGGCAAGTGTATGCGAACGAGTATGCTCACAAATTGCCATCCTATCCCGTTGCATGTTAAGTGGAATATATTTTTCGCGAATGTGGGGTCCCTTCCCTTCAAGCTTACATTCGCGATAGCAACACTGAATACCTATGGTACAAGTATGAATATTTTTAAAAGCTGTGACGCTTTTCAAAAAATTGTATTGAGAAAGCTTGCTTTCTTGTTTTTATCATTTGGCATCGTTCTCATTGCAAATGGCATATTACAACATGTCCATCGAGTTCTAACACAAGCTAGTACATGCAGAGAATACTAGCTAAGATGTATCGTGTCCAAACGGCCGTAGTAGGCAGTCGATGCTGGGGAGGGTGGTGGGAAAGTCGAGTGAGCCGTTGGAAATAGAGAAACGTGGGTGGAGGGAAATGAGCTCCAACCCACGGTTTTTGTAGTTGGAGAAGGGCGTTTAGCGCGCTTCGACGATGCCAAATGTGCAGTACAAGCAGCTTCGCTTTCACAATACACAATTTAAAAAACAAAATGTGTGTTTAAAAATTATAATATTTTGAAAGCGAAGCGGCTTGTAATGTAGCAATGGTCATCGGCGAACCGCGCTAAACGCCCGTTTTGGAGTACAAAACGTGGGCTGGAGGTCATTTCCCTCCACCCACGTCTTTCATTTTCAAACAGCTTAACCTAGTTTCCCGCCAGGGCCCGTGCTAGGAATTGGAGCACCCTGAGGCCTCAGGGCACTTCTCTAAAAACTTAAAAAATGCCCTGATTTGTCAGGGCAAATTTTCAAAGCCTTCCTGTATGTTCAGGGCTTCTACAGACATTAATCCTGACCGGTCAGGGCAAAAACGCATGTGTTCAGGGTTCAGATTTCAGCACAGACCAGACCTGACTCTGCTAAGCAGAGCAGAGAGACGCACGCCTAGTGCCGAGATGATCATTGCCCTGTTTCCTGTTTCAGATTGTTCCCTGTTCCCTGTTTCCCCCATCTGATGCGTTTGGTTGGTGCGTTGCGCAGGGTCGGAAGTGAAAGGGGGTCGCGGAGGCGGGAAAATACACGGGGAAAGCAATCAGTGGGGGAAAATTCTTCGGGGAACAAATTCCCGGGAAACGGGAACCCCCCCCCCACCACCCTGCCCCCCCCCCCCCCCCCCCCCCCCACCCAAAAAAAAAAAAAAAAAAAAAAAAAAAAAAAAACGCGTCAGGGCAAGCCTCGACATTCATCCTGACGCTACAGGGAAGAACACCACAGCCATCCTGATGTTCCAGGGCATTTCATATAATATCATCCTGAGAGCTCAAGGTAAAATTTTACACTACTCTCAAATCACAGGGCAAATACCGTACAAATATGCATCATGAATTCAGGGTACCGTATAGTTCCGGCTAGAAGACACGGGGGACTCTCTAGAATTGCTTGAAAAAATGCTAGGGTGGACATCTTGGCGGTTGCAAATTTTTAAGACCCGGGGTACACTTATTTATCATCTATCAATCTGTTATTTAGGGTGTACAGCTCAATTTGGGGCGGGGGGGTCTTATATTCGTACCGAATTCGCGCAAATTTCGCGCGAGCGGCACGTCAGATCTGTGTCAGAATTCGAGTCTGATAGAAGTAAAGTGTCAGAATTCGAGTCTGACACAAAAAACGTGTCAGAATTCAAATTTATACCAGTAAAAACTGATGCACAATAGCATTAATAACTACTGTATACAGAAAAGGGGGGGTCTTATGATGATTAGAGGCAAAGGAGGGGTCCTCACAAAATCTGCCTCAATAAGAGTCCCCCTACCCATTCAAGAGTCCCAGGGGACCTTCTTACCGGCGGGTCTTTTAGCCGGAACTATACGGTAATCAGGATGTTTTGCCTTGATATCGTGGGGCCTGTTTCCCGCCCACCCACCCCGTAGAACTGGGACCAATTATGGATAGTTGATTGTTTTAAAATAATTGCATCCTAGCTTGGACATGTCTGTAATATGCCATTTTAAATGAGACGATGCCATTGCTACAACGAGAAAGCAAGCTTTCTAAAATTAGGCCGTTTTACTGGTATGTGTGAAAATCAGCACCCCTTTTATGCCAGCCTGTTTAGTTGTACATGTGTTGCTCTTGTTGGGCCGAGAAAAGCCCTTAGGATCTTTATAAGGCTAAACTCTGTGTAGAAATGTTGTAGTTGCGGAAGCGTTTTAATGACAAGTGTTGAACCACCTTGCGCTAGTATGTGAGGGCAAGATAAATTGATTATAGAAAAGTAATACAAGCCTTTTATAAGATTACAAGGAATATGAAAGGGTGCAACTAATATTTGTTTTACTGTTGCTGTTGCGGTTCGATACAGTGACGACTCGAGCAACTGCTCAGTATCGGGTCAGTTGTTTGTCCTTGCTGTCGCGCTGTATTTGTCAAGTCAAAGATCAGCGACCTTAGACCTTCGCGTAACCTCCAGCAGTTACATTTTCTGTCAACCTCCGATCGTTGACTCGCCGTTGCTTCGTTGTAGTTTGCTTCGCTTGCAGTTCAGTGTTTCGACACATCAAAAGCGCTTAAGTCACTTGTTTCCAACACTCCTCTTCGCTTCTGGAGTGTCGCTGTTGGTGACGTGGTTTTGTCCACTCAGCAGCATACAGTATTCGAACTTCTGTTTTCCGAGCTTCTTGGTGAAGTAATCGGCTGCCATCTCGGACGTGGGACGGTAGGACAGCTCGAGTCTCCCCTTCTCGATCTCGTCCTTCACGAATAAATATCGCAGGGCAATGTGCTTCGTTCTGTTTGCGAATCCATTCTTGTTGGTGATGCGGATTGCTGACTGGTTGTCGCAGAACAGAGAGAAGCTGGGTAATTGGGCCAGCTTCGCTTCTTCCAGCAGTTCGCGAAGGTATAATCCTTCCTTGGTGGCTGAGCAGAGTGCAATATACTCTGCTTCAGCTGAGGAGAGAGCTATTAGCTCTTGCTTGCTCGACTGTCACGAGATAGGTCCGATAGGCTCGAGTCGGTAGATGTAGCCGGTGCGTGAGCGCCTGTTGCCGGAGTCGCCGGCGTGGTCAGCATCGACATAGCCGATCGGCTTGGGCGTTGTAGTTCCATTTTTGTGGTAGGCTAGGCCGATCGTCGGAGTGCTGACGAGATAGTAGAGTGCGCGGTCGAGCTCCGCCATGTGCTCTGCTTCGGGTTTCTTGAGGTAGGTGGCGAGTTGGCTTGCGGAGTACGAGAGGTCCGGTCGGCAGGTGACGGCTGCGAAGAGCAGACATCCTAGCTTTCGCTGGTAGTCGCGTATGCCGGCGGGCTTGAGCAGAGTTGAGACATCCTTGTGACTTCCGGCGGTGTAGCGATATGGCGTGGAGATAGCAGTTGGGGTGAGTCCGAAGCGCTTGGCGATGGTGTCGGCGTATTTCGTGGCGCTGAGGTAGACCGCGTTCTCTTCCTCTTGAATGTTGAGCCCGGAGTATTGCGTTACGGTAGATGAAACCGTGAGCCTGAGATTGTAGCTCCCCTTCGAACCAGGTCGTGACTGTCAAACATTATATGTTTATATATTGTGTAGGCTATAGTGGGTTTAGTCATAACGGGTACAACAAACTTAGGGTTTCCTACTTGTACCCAACTTCCTGCTAGTTCACCCATTCTCGTGCAGTACTATCTTCTAACATGGTATCCGACGCCTAGGTTAGGACCTAGGACCCACGTTCGGTAGGGCCCACCGTTCCGCCGCGCCGTCGAGCACCTCGCTTCCTAGCGCCGTCGAGCGCCTCCTCTCCTAGCGCCGTCGTGCGCCCCTCCTCCTCGCGCCGTCGAGCGCCCCTCTTCCTAGCGTCGTAGTGCGCCCATAGGACAGCCGCACGAGCCGCCCGTCAGCCGCACGCGCAGCCGCCTACTCCGCCGCACGCGCAGCCGCCTACTCCGCCGCACGCGCAGCCGCACGATAGGCCGCACGAGCAGCCGCACGTACGACAGCACGCGCAGCAGCTAGCGCAGCCGCGCGCGGCCACCTGCACAGCCGCACGCGCAGCCGCACGCTCGGCCGCACGCACGACCGCACGCATGGCCGCACGCACGACCGCACGCACGGCCGCACCCACGACCGCACGCACGGCCGCCCGCTAGGCCGCACGCACGGCCGCAAGCGCAGCCGCACGCACAACCGCACGCTAGGCCGCACGCACAGCTGCAAGCGCAGCCGCCCGCGCAACCACACGCACGGCCGCCCACGCAGCCGCACGAGCAAGAGCAAGCCGCCGTGCCGCCCTGCCCGAGCCGCGCCGCGCCGCCCTGCCCGAGCCGCGCCGCGCCGCCTTGCCCGAGCCGCGCCGCGCTGCCCTGCCCGAGCCGCGCTGTCACACTGCTGCTACTGTTCCTACTGTTCCTATTGCTCTTACTGAAACTATGGCTAGTCCTGCAGTTCTAGCTTTCGATGCTGAGGGCCGCCCGATCCGTTTTGACACCTGGCTCGATGACCTCCATCTCTTCCTCCAGCTCACTGCTAAGGAGGATATCTCACTGTATAACCATGCGTTA